TCCTATTGTTCATATAAAGTTAATGTTTTAATTCTTTTATAGATTTATTATCGATCTACCAATCGCTTATAATAAATTCCTTACCTTGATGTCGGATGCATCATTATTTCACCAATGATTTATCTATACGATGTTTTTTCGTTTGGTTACTTCTGAAGAAGACTCAATCCACGAGTCGAAACATGTAAAGTTTTATAGATTTTATGATTAAGCCTTTTTTTATTTTTGTATTAAGTTTGTTCTTGTTTTTTCATATTTATGTATATTTTTATATCTTCGAATTTAGTCTTGTTTTTCATGTTAATTTATATTAATTTATTTTATCTTTTTACTATGTGATTAAAGAAATTTTTAATGTTTGACTCTTAATTTGTCTTTTTAGTTTCTATTTATGTTTGAGAATAAGAGTCCTTTACTTACTTATTTATTATTATGTTTCAAATATACATGTTCAGTTCTGAATAAATTGAAATCTATTTTGTTTTTATTCTGTGCTTTGCAATTGCATTTCATTCTTTACATATCTGCAAACATACTTTACAATCTGCAAACATTCGAGCTTAATTAATAAACATAGGTCTATACTTCTTTATATTCAATAAAAATATGAGAAAAATATTGGTGTATATACAAAATGTTAAGCATAACAGTCCGCACGATTTATTAGACATTTCCGACAATTAAAAAAAAGATTAAAAGGTAATTATCCATCTATTTCATGAGGACTAGAACGTGCGATAAAAAAATTTTTTTTATTTAAAAAAGTCAAGGTCATCTTGAATTTTTTAAATAGTACCATACAATTTTTTTCTATATTATATAATATTATCTATAATATTAATATTAAAGTAGGGATCTTCAAAACGAATTCAATGCCTTATCGAGATTGATGTTTTATTGATTTTTTTTTTATATACATAGAGTATAGACCCATAATATTTATCACAAATATTCATTAATAAAGGAATACTTGCATCAACTTATTTGTAATAAGTTATAAGTACATATGGACCAGTTCAATGGCCGGCACGTTCTCCGGATTTTTTCTTATAGGGATGTCATCTGACATCTTTTGTATATCAAACACCAATAAATAATATTCAAGATTTTCGAGAAAGAATAATTACAGCTTGTGCAACTTTGGATCAAAATAGTATAATAACTGCTACGCACAGTAATTTATTTAAAAAAGCAGAATTTTGTGTTACAGAAGGAGGTAATAGCAATTCGAACATTTGCTTTAAACATAAATTACAGATTTTCTTTATTAATTTATATTCATAATGCTGCAAATTTGAATTTTATTAAATATTAATAAAATCAATAAAATTTGTTTACATATAAGTTAATAAGTTCACGCAAGTATTCCATTATTAATGAATATTTGTGATAAATATTATAGGTCTATGTATATCAATAAAATCAATAAAAGTGGCAATCTCGATAGTACATTGAATTTGTCTTGAAGATCCCTATAATATTATAGAAAAAAAATTGTATGGTGCTATATAAAAAATTCAAAATAATCTTGACCTTTTTATAATAAAAAAAAATTCTTTTTTATTTTTTTATACACATTGTAGCCCGCATGAAATAAATGAATAATCACCTTTCAACCTTTTTTTTTTAATTGTCGGAAGTGCAGTTTAAAAAATGCGGACCGTTACACTGAACATCTAATTGTATATGCCCATTTCTACCAATGTAGATTAGGATCGGATCATCTCCGATTAACTTGGTCAGTCAATTGAGTGTCAATCATAAGGTCTGTTTTCTGTGGCTGAACTAGTATACACTTTTAGAACTTAAAGTGAGATAGATATATGTTTGATATTTGTCGAAAGTGAGAAAAAGAGTTTAGTTTAGTGCAGGAACAGAAAACAGATAATTGAACGATTTTGTTCAATTCTGCTTAACAATGCTCCTGCCAAGAATTACTTAAAAATTTTAAAACATCAAGTCTAGATAGGGAAAAGTAGTTGTATTACACCGATTCT